AATTTTGCTTTTATTTTGATCACTTGGGTAGATTGCCCTAGGAAAACATTGGTGAGATTTATGTCCCTCTCCAACTCTTTATATGACTGACTTCTTGTCCCTCAGAGCTTGGCTCATGCCGTCTTCTCAAAGAGGTCTTTCCTGATCACTCTATCTAAAGTAAACCATTCTCCCCCATGCACTCTTCTTGTTTTTTAATAGACTTTATTCTTTTAGAGCAGTTTCAGGTTCACAACAGAATTAAGCAGAAAATAGAGAGTTCCCACATAGCCCTCCCCACCCACACATATTTACTCCCCTACCCTCAACATCCCTCATCAGTGTGGCATATTTGGTACAATCGATGAACCAACACACCATGCACTCTTTAACTAAGTACCCATTTTATTTGTTTCGTAGCACTTAGCACCACTCATTCACTCATTCAACAAACACTGGCCTAGAGTTACTTTGTGCCGGGCACAATTTTAGGCACTGAGGGACACTGATATGAGCAAAACTGATGATTGATTCCTCCTCTTCATTCAGAAGGCTCCAGGACTAAGCCCTTGGACCTCTTCTCTGCTCTGTCAACACCTCCTGTTTTATGATCTCTCATCCAGTCATGGTCATTGAATGTCACGTATATAGTGTGCCTCTGGCCCCAACTTGAAATCCCAAAGAGCACATCCAACTGCCTGCTTGCAGCTCCACCTGCGTACAGCTTACTGCATCCAAAGCTGCATTCCTGACTTTCCCCTGTCCCCAGACCTGTTCCTCCCACAATCGTCTGCACCCTTCCATCTGCTCAGCCCCGAATTCTGGACCAATCCTGACTCCTGTCTTTCTAACCTATCAGTACATTCCATCTTGAACTCTACCTTCAAAATACCCAGGATCCAACCACATCTCTCCATCTCCATTGCCACCACCCTAGCCCAAGCGGACTGTCATCTTCCCTGTACTATGGTGATGGCATCTGAACTGGTGCCCAGCTGCCAGACTTAGGACTTCACACTGTCCAAGCCCTCAGCCCCACCCCAGCACCCTCCACGCTCTTCCTTTTCATTTCCTCTCCAAGCATTTATCTGACATACACTATATTGTACTTACTTATTTTACTTATCATCTGCCTTCTCGGTCTAGAACATAAAGTCCCCCAGGGTCTTTTTTCACTCACGACTATCTTCTCCAGT